GCCCAGCAGCGCTGCCCCCCTCATGCTGGGGCTTGGGGATCCAGCCTGGAGCCTGGCCCCAGAGTCTTCGCAAGCAGAGGCTGAAATTTGCTCCCTGATGCTGGCCTGAGCCAGTGATCGCTTCCCCCAGCGTCTGCTGCTGCCGCTGGGTCCTAGCAAGCAATGGGTTCCCAGACTCCTGCTGCTGGGTTTTAGTGCAATGCCTGCCTGTGTGCTTGGGCAGTGTGTTGCAGCCTGGCACCCAGCAGTTTGTGGTTGGGAGCTGCTGCCTTACATGACTGCTTCTTGGAGTAGCTGGTTTGGAACCCACAGGGAGAGAGCTGTTCTTGATTAGTCCTAAGTGGCGCGCAGGATCTGGTCCAAGAGAAATATAACTGAGCTGCTTGGAAATAGTGACCATAGTGTAATAAAATGTAACATCTCCGTGGTGGGGAAAACACCTCAGCAGCCCAACACTGCGGCATTTAATTTTAGAAAGGGGAATCCCATGAAAATGAGGAGGTTAGTTAAGGTATAGTGCCAAAAGTAAAATCCCTGCAACCTGCATGGAAACTTCAAAGACACCCAAGTAAAGGGCCAACTTAAATGTATAGCCCAAATTTAAAACACAGTACAAGAACCAAAAAGTGCCACCGTGTTGTAACAAGCAAGTAAAAGAAGCAGTGGGAGATAAAAAGGCATCATTTAAAATGTGGAAGTGAAACCCCAGTGAGGAAAACAGAAAGGAGCCTAATGAAGTGTAAAAATATAAGAAGAAAGGCCAAAAAGGAGTTTGAAGAGCAGCTAGCCAAAAACTCAAAGTAATGGCAAAAATTGTTTAAGTACATCAGAAGCAGGAAGTCTGCTAAACAGCCAGCGAGGCCACTAGACAATCAAGATGCTACAGAGCACTCAAAGACAATAAGGTCATTCCGGAGAAACTGAATGGTTTCTTTGCTTTGGTCTTCACAGCTGAGGACGTGAGGGAGATTCCCAAACCCAAGTAATTCTTTGCAGGTGACAAATCTGAGGAATTGTTCCAGATTGAGGTGTCCATTAGAGGAAGTTTCGGAACAAATTGATAAATTAACAGTAACAAGTCACCGGGACCAGATGGCATTCACCCAAGAGTTCTGAAACCCCCCCAATGTAGTCTGTAACCTGTCCTTTCAGTCAGCTTCCGTACCTAATGACCTAGATGATAACTAATATGATGCCAATATTTAAAAAGGGTTCTAGAGGTGATCGTGGCAATTACAGACCGGTAAGTCTAACCTCAGTACCAGGCAAATTGAGTTCAAGCTGTAGTAAAAAATAAAATTGTCAGACACACACAGATGAACATATGTTGTTGGGGAAAAGTCAACATGGTTTCTGTAAAGGGAAATCAGGCCTTACTAATCTACTAGAGTTCTTTGAGGGGGGTCACTCAGCATGTGGACAGGGGGATCCAGTGGCTATAGTGTACTTAGATTTCCAGAAAGCCTTTGACGTCCCTCACCAAAGGCTCCTAAGCAAAGTAAGCTGTCATGGGATAAGCGGGAAGGTCCTCTCATGGACTGAGATCTGGTTAAAGACAGGAAACAAAGGGTAGCAATAAATGGTCAGTTTTCAGAATGGAGAGAGGAAACTAGTGGTGTCCCCCAGGGGTCTGTCCTGGTACCCATCCTACTCAATATTCATAGCGTGCATCCTTTTGTCTGTGGGAGACTTGGGGGATTGCAGCCTGTGAGGTAGGTGGTTTGCAATGTCTCATGTGACTGAACAGTCCAGCCTGAGATTTGCATGATCTTTGGCAGTTACTGAAATATTTGCATCTTGGAGGGCAGCTGCTTGCTTCCTATGTAGTGTACTTCATGGAGGTTAGGTCCATAAAAGGCTATTAGCCAGGGGATAAAATGGTGTCCTTGGCCTCTGTTTGTCAGAGGCTGGAGAGGGATGGCAGGAAACAAATCGCTTGATCATTGTCTTCGGTCCACCCTCTCTGGGGCACCTGGTGCTGGCCACTGTCGGCAGACAGGATACTGAGCTAGATGGACCTTTGGTCTGACCCAGTATGGCCGTTCTTATGTTCTTATGTACTTAGATTTCCAGAAAGCCTTTGTCACGGTCCCTCACCAGAGGCTCTCACGTAAAGTAAGTTGTCATGGGTTGATAACTGGTTAAAGGACAGGAAACAAAGGGTAGGAAGAAATGGTCAATTTTCTGAATGGAGAGATGTAACTAGTGGGGTCCCCCAAAGGTCTGTCCTGTGGCCAATCCTATTCAATCTATTTATAAATGATCTGGAGAAACAGGGAGGTGGCAAAATGAGCAGATGATCCCAAACTGCTCAAGATAGTTCAGACCAAAGCAGACTGTCAAAATGATCTCACCAAACTAAGTGATTGGGCAACAAAATGGCAAATGAAATGTAATGTTGATAATGTAAAGTAATGCACGTTGGAAAACATAATCCTAACTCTACATACAATATGATGGGGACTAATTTGGCTGTATAAATCCATTGTACGCCCACATCTTGAATACTGCGTACGGATGTGGTTGCCTTACCTCAAAAAAGATATATTGGCATTGGAAAAGGTTCAGAAAAAGGCAACAAAACTGATGCGGGGTTTGGAACGGGTCCCAAAATAAGAGAGATTAAAAAGACTTGGATTTTTTTTTGCTTAGAAAAGAGGAAACTAAGGGGGGATATGAGAGGTCTATAAAATCATGACAGGTGTGGAAAAAGTGAATAAGGAAAAGTCATTTGCTTATTCCCACAATATAAGAACTAGGGGTCATCCAATGAAATGAATAGGCAGCAGGTTTAAAACAAACAAGAGGAAGTTTTTCTTCACACAGCAGGGGGGAGGGATAGCTCAGTGATTTGAGCATTGGCCTGCTAAACCCAGGGTTGTGAGTTCAGTCCTTGTGGAGGCCATTTAGGGATGTGGGGCAAAAATTTGTCAGCAATGGTACTTGGTCCTGCTGTGAAGGCAGGGGACTGGACTTGATGACCTTTCAAGGTCCCTTCCAGTTCTAGGAGATAGGCAATCTCCACACAGTCAACCTGTGGAACTCCTTGCCAGAGGATGTGGTGAAGACCAGGACTTTAACAGAGTTCAGAAAAGAGCTAGATAGATTCATGGAGGATGGGGCCATCAGTGGCTGTTAGCCAGAATGGGCAGGCCTGGTGTCCCTGGATTCTCTGTGTCAGAGGCTGGGAGTGGGTGATGGGAGAGATCACTTGATAATTCCCTGTTTCTGTTTGTTCCCTCTGGGGCACCTGGCATTGGCCACTATTGGCAGACTGGGCTGGATGGAGTTTTGCTCTGACCCGTTCTTATGACTCTGTCTTGGTCCTTTCCATTCTCACTCTTCTCTAATTCTCCAGCTGTTGCCATTCTCAAATGAAGACTGGTGCACTTCTGGCCGATGTTCAGGGGTGTCTTGCGCTGCACAGGGGGGTGCTGCACAGGGGGTCGGACTTAATGATCTAATGGTGCCTTCTGGCCCTTCACTCTGAGGCTGTCTCTACACTGGGCCACTTATTCCGGAAAAGCGGCCGCTTTTCCGGAATAACTTGCCAGCTGTCTACACTGGCCGCTTGCTTTTTCGGAACAGCAATGACGATCTACTGTAAAATTGTCAGTGTTTTTCCGGAAAAACTATGCTGCTCCCATTCGGGCAAAAGTCCTTTTTCAGAAAAACTGTTCCGGAAAAGGGCCAGTGTAGACAGCACAGTAGTCTTTTCCGCAAAAAAGCCCCGATCGCGAAATTGACGATTGGGGCTTTTTTCCGGAAAAGCGTGTCTACATTGGCCATGGACGCTTTTCTGGAAAAAGTGCTTGTCCGGAAAAGCATCCTGCCAATGTAGACGCGCTTTTTCCAGGAATACTTATAACGGAAAACTGTTCCGTTTTAAGCATTTCTGGAAAAGGGTGCCAGTGTAGACGTAGCCTGAGGGTCCATTAGAAATGCTTGGCTTTGAGCTGGCTGTCTCCAGCTTTGCATGCACAAGAAGGGTTGCCAGATGCTTTCCCAAAGAACATGATGGGGAAAAAATCGGTCGAGGGATGGAGCTGGGGGGAAAGGGGGAGGGGCACCAAACATGTTGCGCAAACAAAAAAAACCTGCATAAAATAAGGGTCACTGTGCCTTTAAATCCCAGCGCTACACACTCCTCGCTCCCCCTGCCCCTGCCAGACGTGGCAGGGGAGGAATGTCCCAAATGGCCTTCTGTCCAGACCCAAAGAAAATGCTGGACATTGTACTGGTCAGGGGCTGCCGATACCGGCCTGTCCGGGCCGATAGGACACCTAGCAACGAGCTCACAGGTGTCTGTGTCTGCACAGTGAGGCGTTTGCCGTTCTCATTCTCACGGGCAGGCTGTTTCCAAGAGCCTTGCTGCATGTCCTCGAGCTGGGCTTTGGCGTGAGGGGGAGCCAGCAGGGGCTAGGCTGGTGCCACTGCAGTTCCTAACAGGGCAGGCAGCTCTTTGCTCTCACCCCAGAAGGCGGCCTTGCTGCTTTGCGAGCAGGCTGCCCGCTCCGTGTGCGGGGTGAGTAGATGGGAGACGGGGGTCCGCTTGCTACTCGGAATGAGAGTGGGGAGCAGGAGACCCAGTGGAATAGCTGAGGCACTTAGGGTTCTGCTGGCAAGGGCCTGGGTGTGGAATCTGAGAGCATCCATGGCTGAGGCTGAGAGGGGCAGGGGCTGCCCAGTGCAGGCAGCCAGGAGCTGTAATGGCCATTCCGTCCCTAGAAAGGGCTGTGGAGGGTGGCCAGCAAGGGATTGGCATGGCTTAGTCTGGCACTATACCAGAGCTGGGAGAGGAGACTGTTTGCATCGCTAGTCCTGTAGCGAGTGGCTGCCCCCCTCCCTCAGAGGCTCTGGAGAAGCTGGGCTTGCTAGCTCCTTCCCCACCCCAGCAGCCGCCTGTGGCTGGACGCCCCGAAGGACGTGGCCTGGTGGGGGTGCGTGTGACGGATGGCTCCTGGCAGGTGTTGGGTTTCAATCTCTGCTCTCTGTTGCAGGTGACTATGCTGGCTTCCCAGGGTGTGGCCTGCTCAGGCTGCACAGCACCTACCGGCACGACCTCAAGATCTATGCTTCAGACGAGGGCAGGGTTCAGATGACAGCAGCAGCTTTTGCAAAGGTGACTCCTCTCATGTGGCATCAGCTCCATCCACAGCCATGTCCTCTGCAGCCCACATAACCCAGCGATTTGTGGCCAGCAGCAGATATGCGCTATTGGAGCTGCTATAAAACTCCCCTAGACGTGACTTGGGAATGGTTTACCTTCGGGAGCAGGCCCGGCCGGTTCCCCAGGAGTAACCCTCTTGCTGTCCTAAGCTGCTGTTTGAGACTGGCCACACTAGGCATGTAAAATCCCGGGAAAACCCTAAGGATGTTAAATATTAATTAAATTAACTAGTCGATAGGCACTTGTGCATTTCCAAGTTGGAACTCCCCGTGCAGCTGGGGCCAGCGGGAAGTTCCACTGACTCCGGGCTCCACGTGGGCGCTTCCACTTTGAAATGCACAAGAGCCCGGAGACTCCCCAGCTTGACCCCAGGCTCTGCGCGGCATTTCCACAGAACCCCAGGGTCAGCTGGGAACTCCCCAGGCTCCACGTAATGCTGCTGCATTTCAAAGGGGCAGCGCTGCGCGGAGCCCGGGATCAGCTGTGCGGTGCTGCCCCTTTGAAATGCTGCTGTGGCATTTCAAAGTGCCAGCGACACATGGAGCCCATATCCCAGGCTCCGCACGGCGCTGCCACTTTGAACAACCCCCTCTTCCCTCCCCGCTTTGCTGCCTCTATATAATAGAGGCAGCGGGGGAAGCGACTAGTCCTTAACATCCTTCGTCTAACCAGTTAACTGATTACGCCTGGGATCCCTCCCTAGCCACTGGCTGCCAGCACAGGGCTGCTTGGGACAGTTAACCAGTTCCCGGTAAGGGTGATGTTTCCCAGCTCCTCGTGCATATCCCTAGTCTGCATATGGGGACTGTCCATTTGCACAGGGCAACCCAGGCAGTGTAAACGGACCTCACTTCTGCTGCATGACAGGGCTGGAGGAGCAGCTTTGATCAGGTCCCTGGAGTAGTTCATCCAGTCTCCTGGGTGTGCCTGAGGCTAGAGCGAGGGGCTTGGTGTAAGGCAGGGCTCACAGGCTGTATGGGGCGTGTGTGGCTCTGGTACAGCTGGAATGCAGCTCACAGAGCCCCTCCCCCATTCTAGGCTTGCCAGACTAGAATTTCATTTGGTGTCTTCTGGTGGGAGAAACTGGTCCCGACTTTTGTTTGAACGAGCACTTGCTTGTGTCCCTGGGCTGAACCCCTCTGCTGCTCTGCTCTAGGGGCTCCTGGCTCTGGAGGGAGAGCTGACACCCATCCTGGTGCAAATGGTAAAAAGTGCCAATATGAATGGGCTGTTGGACAGCGACAGTGACTCCCTGAGCAGCTGCCAGCACAGAGTGAAGGCGCGGCTACACGAGATCATGCAGAAGGATGCCAGGTTCTGCGAGGAGGATTACGAAAAGGTAACCTAAGAATGGCTATAGGGGGGCAGTATCCTGTCTGTGGTCCAATATCCTGTCTGCCACCAGCGCCAGGTGCCCCAGAGGGAGTGAAAAGACCAGGTAATCATCAAGTCGATCCCTCCTCTGTCATACATTCCCAGTTTCTGACAAACAGAAGCTAGGGAAACCATCCCGCCCATCCTGGCTCATAGACGACAGGTCAATCAATGGCCATTAATTTATCTAACTCATTTTTGAACCCTGTTAAAGTCCTGGTCTTCGCAACATCCACTGGCAAGGAGTTCCACAGGTTGACTCTGCGTCGCGTGAAGAAAAACTTTTTTTGTTGTAAATCTATTGCCATTTAATTTCATTTGAACCCCCTCCCTCTCAGTTCTTGTGTTCTGGGGGCCAAATAACACTTTTTCCACATCAGCCATGATTTTATAGAGCTGTATCATAATCCCCCCCCCCTCTTTTCTAAGGTGAAAAGCGTGGTGTTAATCTCTCCTCACATGGCAGTCGTTCCATTCCCCTTATAATTTTGGTTTTCCTTTTCCAGTTCCAACATATCTTCATTGATATGGAGCGACCACGCAGTGTTCCAGGTGTGGGCGTCCCATCGACGTGTATAGCAGCAATACGATATTTTCTGTCTTATTATCTTAATACTTCCCAACATTTTGTTCACTTTTTTTGACAGCTGCCACACATTTGAGTGGATAGTTTCAAAGACCTCAGGGTCTCTCTTGAATGATAACTGCTAGTTTAGACCCCATCATTGCACCTATATAGTTGGGCTGATGTCTTCTAATATGCAGTACTTTGCATTTATCAGCAATGAATTTCATCAGCCCTTTTCTTGCCCAGTCATTCAGTTTTGTGAGATCCCTTTGAAGTTCTTTGCAGTCTGCTTTGAACTTAAGTATCTTGTTTCTGAATCCTCTGCACATTTTGCCACCTCACTGCTTACCCATTTTCCCAGATTGGGTATTAATGAACAGCCTGTATGACGGCCTGAAGAAAACTCTAGGTTCCACTGTCAACAAGGCTGTCCCTCTGAAATTGGTGAACTTTTAACCGATAAAAGCAAACAGAGCTATCCACACAAGAAAGGAACATGCACAGTGAGTCACTGGACTAGATAGCGACCTACAGGTCATGCCAGGCCTAGATGTGGAGCCTACTGTTGAATAGCTAAGGAAGGCCATTGGTTTGCTATCAGGTGGCAAGGCTTTTGGAAAAGAGCATCCCAGGAGAAATCCTCAGGTGGCAAGTGCCTACCACCGTATCTTCATCAGGTGCAACACAAATGCTAGAAAGAGGGTGAGGTGCCGCAAGAAATGCATGATGCAAACATCGCTGCTTTGCATAAAACAAAGGTGGGGGAAAAGGGCAGCTGTAACAACTAAGTGTAGCAGGAAAAGCTTTTGCAGAAGGCACCTGAGTGTGCCTACAACGGCTGGCGAATTGCATCCACTCTCCATCACAGTGCAGATTCAGGGCTGGAAGACCAACTGTAGATGTGAGATCTTTTTTTCCTCTGAATCAAGTCCAAAAAGTGCAGAGAGCAAAGCCGACCATTCTACATTGCCTTATGGACCTGACCAAAGCATTTGACGCAGTCAGCAGAGCAGGTGTATTTGCAATATTGGAAAAGATAGGATACCTCCCACCCCTGCTAAGGCTTCATTCCACAATGTGAAAGGAACCGTCCAGTTTGACAGGTCCACTTTGGGCAGCTTTGAGAGGAAGAGTTCAGCAATGGATGTTCTTCCCCTGACGCGCTCTGGAATCATCGCCTTGGTATTCTTGAACTCTGCATGCAAGGACATGCAAGATGGAGAGCATCTCTACACAAGATCAGATGGGGAAACTCTTAACCTATCCCAACTAGTTAAACACCATGGTCAAAAAGGTGCTCATCAGGCCCACAATGAAGATTTACGAGACAAATTCATGACATGCCTATGAGTGTCTGCTGGGCATTTGCTCTCGCCAGCAGCATCAAGGAGAACATTGTATTAGGGCAGGGGGTTCCTCTTGATCCTTCAGGTGCCTTAACTGCAAACCAGCTGGAAGTAGTCCAGACGTTCAGCTCTTTAGGTTCTGCGGTTAGCACCAGCCTCTCACTGGATGGAGATGTTTGCTTTGGAAAGGCTGCAGCCATGGAACAACTCAGTTAACTATCAAGACGGAAATGCTAGTGTACCAAGCTTGCATCCTTAGCACCCTTGTGTATGGGGAAGGAACATGGGCAGCTTATGCTCCTCCGGAGAAAAGGTTAAACAGTTTTCACCTCCGTTTACACTGCATATTCAACACCAAATGGCAAGAAAAAGTCACCACTGCTCAGTTCTTCCAAGAGCAAATTTACCAAGTGTGACCTCTCTGCTCAATCAGAGCGTGCGCTGGCTGGCTCATCTGTGTAGGTTGGAAGACAGATGCATGCCCAAGGACACAACTCACAAAATCATCCAAAGCGTGGGATTTGGTGATGATAGGGGACTTCAGCTATCAGACATATGTTGGGAAACTAACATAGCGGGGCACAGACTATCCAACAAGTTCTTGGACTGCATTGAAGACAACTTTTTATTTCAGAAGGTTGAAAAAGCTCCTGGGGGGAAGCTGTTATAGATTTGATTTTAACAAATAGGGAGGAACTGGTTGAGAATTTGAAAGTGGAAGGCAGCTTGGGTGAAAGTGATCATGAAATCGTAGAGTTCAGGATTCTAAGAAATGGTAAAAGAGAGACCAGCAAATTAGAGACAATGGATTTCAGGAAGGCAGATTTTTGGGACGCTCAGAGAGCTGATATGTAAGGTCCCGTGGAAAGCAAGACTAAGAGGAAAAAACAACTGAAGAGAGTTGGCAGTTTTTCAAAGGGACATTATTAAGGGCTCAAAAGCAAGTTATTCTGCTGCGTTGGAAAGATAGAAAGTACGGCAAAAGTCCACCTTGGCTTAACCAGGAGATCTTGCATGATCTAAAAATCAAAAAGGAGTCATATAAAAAATGGAAACTAGCACAAATTACAAAAGATGAACGTAAGCAAACAATACAGGAATGCAGGGGCAAGATTAGAAAGGCAAAGGCACAAAACGAGCTCAAACTAGCTACAGACATAAAGGGAAACAAGAAGACATTCTATAAAAATATTAGAAGCAAGAGGAAGACCAAGGACAGGGTAGGCCCACTGCTCTGTGGGGAGGGAGAAACGGTAATAGGAAACTTGGAAATGGCAGAGATACTTAATGACTTCTTTGTTTTGGTCTTCACCGAGAAGTCTGACGAAGGAATGCCTAACATAGTGAATGCTAGTGGGAAGGGATAGGTTTAGAAGATAAAATAAAGAACAAGTTAAAAATCACTTAGAAAAGTTAGAGGTCTGCAAGTCAGCAGGGCCTGATGAAATTCATCCTAGCATACTCATCTCCTCTATCAGCTCCTTATCTGAGCCTTTAGCTATCATCTTTGAAAAATCATGGAAGTCAGGAGAGATTCCAGAAGACTGGAAAAGGGCAAATCTAGTGCCCATCTATAAAATGGAAAATAAGAACAACCCAGGAAACTGCAGACCAGGCAGTTTAACTTCTATGCCCGGAAAGATAATAGAGCAAGTAATTTAGGAATTCATCTGCAAACACCTGGAAGATAATAAGGTGATAGGGAACAGCCAGCATGGATTTGTAAAGAACAAATCATGTCAAACCAATCAGATAGCCACAAGACTCATTATCCTATCAAAGAAAGCTAAGGGAGAAGCGGTGGATGTGGTATACCTAGACTTTTGATGTGGTCTCGCATGACCTGCTTCTCAATTAACTAGGCAAATACAACTTAGATGGGGCTACTATAAGGTGGCTGAATAACCGTTCTCAGAGTAGTTACTAAAGGTTTACAATCCTGTTGGAAAGGTATAACAAGTGGGGTTCTGCGGGGGTCTGTTTTGGGACCAGTTCTGTTCAATATCTTCATCAACGACTCAGATATCAGCATAGAGAAGACACTTATTAAGTTTGCAGATGATACGAAGCTGGGAGGGGTTGCGACTGCTTTGGAGGACAGGGTCATAATTCAAAATGATCTGGAGGAATGGTCGGAGGTAAATAGGATGAAGTGTAATAAGGACTAATGCAAAGTGCTCCACTTAGGAAGGAACAATCTGTTCCACACATACAGAATGGGGAGCAACTGTCCAGGAAGGAGTACTGCAGAAAGGATTGTTCAAAGCAAACATGATTCTTGGATGCATTAAAAGGAGTGTTGTGAACAAGACATGAGAAGTCATTCTTCCGCTCTACTCTGTGTTGATTAGGCCTCACTTGGAGTATTATGTCCAGTTCTGGGCACCACATTTCAATAAAGATGTGGAGAAATTGGAGAGGGTCCAGAGAAGAGCAACAAGAATGATGAAAGGTCTAGAGAACATGACCTATGAAGGGAGGCTGAAAGAACTGGGCTTGTTTAGTTTAGAAAAGAGAAGACTGAGGGGGAACATTATAGCCGTTTTCAGGTATCTAAAAGGGTGTCATGAGGAGGGAGAAAACTTGTTCATCTTGGCCTCTGAGGATAGAACAAGAAGCAATGGGCTTAAACTGCAGCAAGGGAGGTTTAGGTTGGACATTAGGAAACACTTCCTAACTGTCAGGGTGATTAAACAGTGGAATAAATTGCCCAGGGAGGTTGTGGAATCTCCATCTCTGCAGATATTTAAGAGCAGGTTAGACAGACACCTGTCAGGGATGGTCTAGACCAGGGGTCTCCAACCTTTTTAAGCACAAGATTACTTTTTGAATTTGTCAGTCCAAGATCTATGTCAAACCCAAGTACCCCTGCTCCACCCCTTCTCCAAGGCCCTGCCCCTGCTCCACCCCTTTGCTGAGGCCCCACCCTCCTCACTCTGTGAAGATTGGGTACAGGAGAGGGGGATACCACTAGTTACCTCTCTCCATTCTGAAAACTGACCATTTATTGCTGCCCTTTGTCTCCTGTCTTTAACCAGTTCTCAGTCCGTGAGAGGACCTTCCCGCTTATCCCATGACAACTTACTTTGCTTAACAGCCTTTGGTGAGGGGCCTTGTCAAAGCTTTCTGGAAATCTAAGAACATTCATTCCATTGGATCCCCCTTGTCCACATGCTTGCTGATTTTTCCCCCCTTCCTCTCCCAAGAATTCTAGTAGACTGAGGCGTGATTTCCTTTTACAGAAACCGTGTTGACTCTTCCCCAACAATTACGTTCATCTACACGTCTGACAAGTTTGTTCTGTATTATAGCTTCAACTGGCTTTCCTGGTACTTAAGTCAGGGTTACTAGCTTGTAACTGCTGGAATCACCTCTGGAGCCTTTTTTAAAAGTTGATGTTGCTTTTGTTTATTGCAGTCATTTTGGTACAGAATCTGATTTAAATGATAGGTTACAAATCTCAGTTACTACTTTCGGCAATTTCCCACTTCAGTTTTTTCAGAACTCTTGGGTGAATGCCATCTGGTCCTGGTGCCTTATTACTATTAATTATCAATTTGTTCCGAAACCTCCTTTAGTGACACTTTAATTTGGGTCAGAGCTATCCCAAGCCTTGCAGAATCTGGAGAAGAAATGAAAGTCCTGGCATTAAAAGGGATTAACTGAGAGTTTCTAGTCCAGACAATCGAACATTGAGCTTGGCAAAATGTGGAAATGCTTATATGGGATATAATTGCTAAATAATTGGTTAGTTAATTCCAGTCAGCATGATTCTATGGAAAACAGTTAACCTGATACCACTTTCTAATGAGTTTACAAGTCTGGCTGACAAAGGTAATAGTGCTGAAATGCATTTAGATGTAAGGCATTTGACTTAGTCCTCTGTGATATGATTAAAAGATTATCAAGGTACAGAACTGATGTAGCCTATACTCAGTGGATTCAAAATTTGTCTCCTATATCTCAAATCAATTGTAAATGGGGAATCATTCTATGAAGGCGTTCTTAGTGCGGTCCCTCATATGTGTTCTTCGCCCAGTGCTAGTCAATATCCTTACCAGTGACCCAGTGGAAAGTATAAAATAATGACTGGTAAAGTTTGCGGGGCTGTGGGGTTGCACAGAAATTGATGGAATGGTAACTCATGGAGAGGTCAGTTCTGCAGGGGGATCTGAATCCTGTGGTAAGCTGGGCTGCTTAGACCTGCAGGCGTTTTGATACAGCTCAGTGTGAGGCACGAAGAGCGTAGTGGGTTGCACTTCTGGGAATGGGGAGTGTTTTGGAAAGCAGTGACTTTGAAAGGGTAGGTCTGCACTACCCCGCTAGTTCGAACTAGCGGGGGTAATGTAGTCATACGCACTTGCAAATGAAGCCCGGGATTTGAATTTCCTGGGCTTCATTTGCATGAAGCCGGCTGGCGCCATTTTTAAATGCCGGCTAGTTCAGACTCCATGCCCCGCAGCTACACGCAGCACGGACTAGCTAGTTCGGATTAGGCTTCCACGAGGCGTACAGCTAGTTCAGATAGGAAGCCTAATCCGAACTAGCTAGTCTGTGACGCGTGTAGCCGCGGGGCATGGAGTCCGAACTAGCCGGCGTTTAAAAATGGCGTAAAAATGGCGCCGGCCGGCTTCATGCAAATGAAGCCCGGGAAATTCAAATCCCGGGCTTCATTTGCAACTCCGTATGACTACATTACCCCTAGTTCGAACTAGGGGGATAGTGTAGACATACCCAAAGGGACTCTCGGTCCTTCCGGATACCAGCTGGACAGGCATTTCTAGGTCATGCATCTCAGAGCCTCTCCTCTCACTGCTCTGCCAGGCCTTGCACCATGTGCCACCGGGCACCTGAGAAAGGCAGAGCCTCTCCTCTCACTGCGAGTCCTTGAAACGCTTGTTTCACCCCCTTCTCGTGCATTGGCAATGGCTCAGTGGTGAGCACGTTACCTTCATTTGGAGCCCCTTTCCTGGCGTTCAGAGAACATGACCAGCCCAGCAGAGTTGGTGGTGGAGGGTTGTAATTCCAATGCTGCAGGCTTTGGCTCGGAACAGGACATTCGTGTTGGTCATGCCACCTGATCTGGAAGGTCTTGCGAAGGCCCTGTTGATCATGGGGTATCAGTCAAGAACCTTGAGGTGTCTGCTGTACATGAGCCTAGTTTGGCTCGGTACTGAGAGCCTGGCACATCTGGTATGATTCTTGATGTCAGTTTTTGAAGAGGTTTTCTGAAGCATTCCGGGGTTGCAGTGGCGCATTGGCAGTGTTGAATTTCTGTCAGTGTTGGCTTTCTGCTACAGATAGCTGCCAAGGTAAAGGAAGCGCTCAACCGTTTCCAGGGACTTCTGAATGATAAGAGCAAGATCTTGTGATTGAGAGCCTGTTGGTGGAGTGCTAGTTTTCTTGTTGTTGGCTCTGAGGCCAAGTTGGTTGTAGGCTTTTGGCCTCTTCCTCTCTGAGGTGAAGGGGACACCTTCCCCAGGTAAGCATGGAGCCTAGTCCTCCTGGGCCTGCCTGGAGCAGTCTTGGCAGCTGAGCTGGGAAATAAAGTAACCAGGCCTGGATCCAGCCCACTCCGTGTGTGACAGGCCCCAGACTCTCCTCTGTGCTGAGCCAAGTACGGGCTCAAGGTTGTGACCACCCTTCCCTTCCTTACCGCTAGATTGGGGCGGGCCCCACACTTTTCCACTTGTAACCAGAGGTCCTGGAATGGAAGAAGCAAAGACCCATTAGAAAAGAGGAAACCGCTCCTCACCTAGGACTACCACCCCGCCCCCTCTGGAGAGAGACGTGAGCTGAGAGGCTGGTACAGCCTGTGGAGAGGGTATGGGGTGACGGCTACACAGGAAGACACGTGGTCACTTGCATACCATTTCCAGAAGCTGAATGGTTGGGCTGAGCTGGATCCTGTCTGCACAGGCACTAACCGTTGTGTTCTTTACTCTGCAGTTAGCACCTACAGGCAGCCTCTCGCTGGTCAACTCCATGACTTCCATCCAGAACCCTGTAGAGATCTGTGACCAGGTGTTTGCCCTGATTGAGAACCTCACCTCCCAGATACGCAAACGTCTGGAAGATCCCAAATCTGCAGGTGAGCAGCTGGGTGTGGACGAGGGGATCTGGAGCAGAGCCCTCTCGACTGGGCCTGTGCATGCAAGCGCTCTGAGCTGGAGAAATGTGTCTGCAGCAAAGCAGCCTAGGAAGCGCCCTCTTGGAGAGAAGTCTGTCCAATGCATGAAGGGAGCCACTGAGCTCCAGAGGTGCAGCCTTCCAAAGAATGGCAGAAGGTCTGGTCTGAGGCTCCCATTGCTATTGGAAGCCATGTTCAGATTGCTTTGTGCTCAGGGTGTTAGAGGGATTGCAGGCTGCTTGGGGCGTTGGCCATGAGGCTGTAGAGCAGGGTCTCCAACCTTTTACACCCAAGATCACTTTTTAAATGTCAGGTCAAGCCAAGATCTGCCCCAGCTCTTCCCCAAGGCCCCACCCCTTCTTTGAGGCCCCACCCTCTCTGTTCCCCTCTTCTCCATCACTTGCTATCCCCAGCCCTTCTACATGCTCAGGGTTGAGACAGGAGGTGCAGGCTCTAGGGTGGGAATGAGGGATTTGGGCGTGGAAAGGGGTGAGAGGTGCAAGCTCTGGAAGGGAATTTGGATGCTGGAGAAGGGGATGCTGGCTCCAGGCTGGGGAGTGCTGGGGCTAGGTGGAGGGTTGGGGTGCTGAGCAAGCCACAGGGTTGTGGATGTGAGGGTGCAGGGGTTTGGGCTGGGAGTATGATGGGCTCAGGACACAGATTTGCAGTGTGGATGGTGCAGGAGTGTTGAGGCAGAAGACTGAGGATGTGGGGGTGCAGGACTTTGGGGATGTGAGAGGCTCAGGACCAGGGGCTCCAGTGTATGGGGCTCAGATTTGGGGTCGGGTGTGTGTGTGCAGGAGTGTTACGATGCTGCAGCCAGATGGGGGCTTGTTGGCCTGGCTTCATTTCTAAATAAAATATTATGTCAAACACAAAAGGTTTCAGCATTGTCCTTATTTATGAGAGGGACAGGGAACTTGGTTTGAGTCAAAGGTCACTGACCCACAGAAAAGTCAGTCGGGACCACACAAGTGAGATGCAAAAACACAACCCCTTCAAAAAAAACCCAAGCCTCACTAATGTGGCCCCAACTGTGGTGGTGGGGGTGGGGGGACAGGATTCTGGGGTAGGGGGCGGCAGGGTGCTGGTGGGTGCTGGGGCAGGGTACTCGTGGGAGGAGGGGAGGGGGCAGGGACAGCTGGGGGCA